ATTAGGTAGGAAGCCCCGGCTGACACGCCCTGACGCTATCAAAACACGCCTTAAAACTTATATTCCAGCGGTGGTGCGACGGTGGTAGTAGGAAAGCCGCGTACGTGAGATAAAATAACAGAGTGTAGTTAACAGGCTTGGGTAAAAATATTCACGCTAGCTTCCATATCTCTCTCTCGCGCTCCCGCCCTCCATCCCGCACCTCCCTCTCAATTTAACCGCGTCTACGTCTCTCTCTTTCTCTTTCTCTCTTTATCTCTTTCTACCATCCTTGCTTATTCCTGCGCGTTTTTCAGACTCGTATTCCGAAAATTCACAAACGTCCGTATCATTCGCGCGATGGCATCGATTAATCGATACGTTCGTAAAAACAGAGCCTGCACTTGTGTTTGCGTCCTCACAAAGTAATTTTAATTTACCTTCCAATGCGTTGATTATACTTACAAAAAAAAAATGTTTGTATTTATACATACTTTACGATCATTATTAAAATGGATAAAGAGAATCTCTCGTGTTGTCCTTCCTTTCCCTATATATTAATTAGGAATCTCAATTTTGTATATGATATAACTGAGATTAAAGGTGTCGCCTCTCCTTTAATTTAATTATCTGAAATATATTTCCGGTAAGAAAATTTCTATTATAATACCTAAATCGCTAAAATGACGAAATTTATTAATTACAAAATTTAATAATGTAATAAAAAATTTGTATAAAAAATTCATAATTTATAATTAATAAATCAAAATTGTATCGTTACTTGGCTATTAATAGATTGTGTCTCATATATAAGAGAAGGAAATAAAAAAAGAAAAAGAGAAACGAGAAAGAGTTTCGAGGTTAATACATTATATACAGAAAAATGTGGGGTTAAGCGATCACGAACCTGATATCAGTTGATAGGATTTCGGCATCTTCATACGATTATACAGTTGACGGCTCTTCTGACACAGTAAAAATAAAAAAAAAGATTGATATTTCCTACGTTTACACAATCCCGCACATCTCGTACCTCTTTCGATTACATATGTAACGTCTTCTTTTAAATTTAACTTGCACTGCCATCTATGGCTGTGCAGCCAATAACAATATATCAAGTAAACTCGGTTGACAAGATCTACATTTTTCAGTTTTATAATCGCGAATCTAGCGAGTTCAATCGGTAATCACGCAAATGTATGTACCAACAGCAGCATATTTTTAATAGCGTGTGTCTCGCAAGAATATCGATCGAGAGGTTAGGTGCGCTTTGCATGACATCGGATGATAATATTTTACAAATATCGCGGTATCTGCAAATTAATCAGAAAATTCCGCATACCTGATGCAAGAGTCAGATGTCAGGTGCAATATGTGCAGACATGTATAGCGTCGAATTGCTGAACTTCCGTCAAAAATTGCAAGGGATGTAATTGCATTCGTTATACTCCATGTTGCATCATTCTACAAGATATATATATAAAAGAAAACATTTTAGAGAATAGCATCCCAATCATTGACCGAACATTTTAGAATAAATATCCCAATCATTGATCATCAATTATTAATCGATTAACAATTATCGCGATGCAAAGCAAGCTTTCTCTTTAAAAACATATGGAATATTACGTCTTAAAATACCTGTGACGTCTTAAAATAGCTGTGTAAAATACCTGTTAAAATACTCTATCCAATCGTCGTTCGAACGAAAGTCTGACGCCTACGTTGCAACACGACGCGTTACCATATTTGGCAAACACTTTGGAAACATTACAAGCACTTGCGAAATCGGCGATAAAATCGAAGGCAGGATGTGGAAGGCAGGATCGGGAGAATGCGATGTAAATTTTCGATATCTGGAATAGACGCGAGAGCACGAGAGAGCGCGGACGAGAGGGACGTTGCAGCGCGACGCGATCAAGGTTTCACTTCGAATATGGCGGGAATGCGGATGGCGCGTCGAACGATCGAAATTCGCGTCGCTGCGCATGCGCGGGCGAGTGGCGCGCATTCGCGCGGTCGCGACGGCGCGGCGGGCTTGCGAATTGGACTTTAGCTCCGACGTTACAGCGCGGCAAACGAATCCGATTGGACAGCGTGGCCACGAAGGCCACATCCGGCCGCGGCCGCCGCAGTATTGGTCGATCGCGCGCGACGGCATCAGCAACAGCAGCGGTAGTGGCAGCGAAGTTGGCCGAATTTCCTATATATATTATTGATAAATAGCTCGCGTCGTTGCTCGTGTGACTTTCCGAGACGGTTAAGAACAGCCGACTTCGTATCGTGCGTGAATGTGCGTGACCTCGTCGTCGGGAGAGAGGCGTAATTAATAAATGTAATATATAAATATTAATTATATAATCATAAGTTATAATTAATGAAAAATTATTATCAAGAATTCTCGTACTGGAAACGAATCCAGAAATATCCAGAATTTTAACGTAACTTTTACGTAATCACATTAGCCACCGTAACTGTAATTGTCACAATTCATAATTACGTTAAAATGACGGCAAAGTATATGTACATAGCCTTTCTAAACCCGTCTATTGACTATACAAATATCTGAAATAATATTTTTCCTGCTCCAGAAAGCGAGTATTCTTCCTCTTTTTTTTTTTCCTCGCTCCTGCGTCCGCTGGGGACAAGCGTGAAGAGGAAGCTCGCGGCGAGGACATCATCAGTCGTCGACACCGGTATCCCCAGAGTCTTCGACACGGGGTTGAATCTCGAATTAGTATTAACGTCGCGACTCTTTCGTTCGCTTTTACTAAAGCAAACATTCGCGGCAAAAACCTAGCGTCGATGCCGCGCGACGACAGTTCTCACTTAAATAGTCACTATGACTCCTCTTACGTATATTTTTAAGCCGTATCCTAAATCCTTTTAAATTTTTTTTAATAAATTCCCGATTATAATTACATCTTTTCTTATATTTTTATAGTTTATCATATTTTCAAGCTTTTATCGCGTACATCTTCCTTTTAAACTCTCATTAATATTCAAGAATAACGAAAAGCCAAATGAGGTCCAAAAATACGGCAATTATACGATAGTCGAAAGGGGGATAAGACGGCCCCTTCCGCCTTTCCATCGATATCGATGCTAACGCCGGCGCTAAAACGAGCCTTGTTCGCAGGGACTAATCCACGGGAGATCTTCATCGCGCGAACAACGGCAAACAAACGAAATCGAACAATTTGTTTTCGTACGGCGGCTAATTAGCGGCCACTATCTGGCGCGCGTGTCTTGTTAGATGGAAAGAACAAGGAGAGTCAATGGGAAAGAGGAGTGAAGGAGAGAATATATAGAAATATAAGTGGTACACACACGAAAACTGGCAAGATATACACACGGGAAGAATGAGAAAGAGAAAGGAAGCGCGACGGGGACGGGGATGGGGACTGGGACGACGACGACGATGACGACGACGACGGGAGAGGGGAGGGGAACAGGGAAAAGCAGCGGCAAAGCAGCACGGAGACGAGGCGACAAAATCAATTATTTTGTTAAACAACAAGCCGTGTTATGTTAGGTTTGCCAAAATAACCAAAACAACGCTGCCGCGGTTCGTACGCGCCGCGCGCGCGTTTCGTGATACGCCGGTTCATTCATCCGCGCCCAACCATTTCCATTCATCCTTTCGCCACGAGAAATTATCGCGATAATCGGCCGCAAAGCGGTTTTTCCGCTCCGCAGGTGAAACGCGCGCGTTCTCGTCTCAATATAAATGTTATTCATTATTATTGTTATACGCATTATATCGTGTATACGCGCGCGATATGGGTTTATATGCTTTATTGGAGTTTTGCCGGAGAGATCGACGGCGCAACGTAATATCGCAGAGAATTAATTAATTTCCAATTCCGATATCTCCTCAGGCTAAAAATGTTTGCCGCGATATATCCGACTTTTTCAATGTGTAGAATCGAATGTGTAGTATCTTGTATGTGAGGGGGAAATATTTCGTTTATATAACGATGTAAAAAAATAGAACGTCGGTATCATAAATTTTTCGAGAAAGTCAATTATCTTTTTCACACAAATATTTTTCTTTTAACAATAAGCTAGATAATTTCAGTCGAAAGTATATATCGAAATTACTACTTTCTTTAAATTTCTTAGAGGATGTATAAAAAAGATATCCGCGATTCTATCATCACTTCATTTCTTTGCACGCACTATTGGCACGCACGTTTTTCCTATTCGATTAATTAATTGGCGTATAATTAATTATAATTATGCAAGATCTAGTAAAATATGCAAGATCGGTGTAAAATTAAGCACAATATGTTTAGATGCTTGTGAATTTAAAAAAAAGTAACGCGCGCACACACATATATATGTAGCAATTGTGTACATTGTTCAAAATCCTCTCCAAAAGAGTTCTTCAAAAAACGCTTCCCTTTTGAAGACTGTCTAAATAGAAGACAGTATTCTGGAGTTGACGTACACAACTCTTGATTATAGAAAGAGAGCGCGAAATTTCGCGTATGCAAGGTACATCGGAATGAGGGGGTGGGAGAGGGAGAGGAAAGTTTCGCGGTATCATGAGCTATGCACTCTTCAAAAAGTATGAACGAACGAGCGAAGAAGCGATCCATTAGGTAGGAAGCCCCGGCTGACACGCCCTGACGCTATCAAAACACGCCTTAAAACTTATATTCCAGCGGTGGTGCGACGGTGGTAGTAGGAAAGCCGCGTACGTGAGATAAAATAACAGAGTGTAGTTAACAGGCTTGGGTAAAAATATTCACGCTAGCTTCCATATCTCTCTCTCGCGCTCCCGCCCTCCATCCCGCACCTCCCTCTCAATTTAACCGCGTCTACGTCTCTCTCTTTCTCTTTCTCTCTTTATCTCTTTCTACCATCCTTGCTTATTCCTGCGCGTTTTTCAGACTCGTATTCCGAAAATTCACAAACGTCCGTATCATTCGCGCGATGGCATCGATTAATCGATACGTTCGTAAAAACAGAGCCTGCACTTGTGTTTGCGTCCTCACAAAGTAATTTTAATTTACCTTCCAATGCGTTGATTATACTTACAAAAAAAAAATGTTTGTATTTATACATACTTTACGATCATTATTAAAATGGATAAAGAGAATCTCTCGTGTTGTCCTTCCTTTCCCTATATATTAATTAGGAATCTCAATTTTGTATATGATATAACTGAGATTAAAGGTGTCGCCTCTCCTTTAATTTAATTATCTGAAATATATTTCCGGTAAGAAAATTTCTATTATAATACCTAAATCGCTAAAATGACGAAATTTATTAATTACAAAATTTAATAATGTAATAAAAAATTTGTATAAAAAATTCATAATTTATAATTAATAAATCAAAATTGTATCGTTACTTGGCTATTAATAGATTGTGTCTCATATATAAGAGAAGGAAATAAAAAAAGAAAAAGAGAAACGAGAAAGAGTTTCGAGGTTAATACATTATATACAGAAAAATGTGGGGTTAAGCGATCACGAACCTGATATCAGTTGATAGGATTTCGGCATCTTCATACGATTATACAGTTGACGGCTCTTCTGACACAGTAAAAATAAAAAAAAAGATTGATATTTCCTACGTTTACACAATCCCGCACATCTCGTACCTCTTTCGATTACATATGTAACGTCTTCTTTTAAATTTAACTTGCACTGCCATCTATGGCTGTGCAGCCAATAACAATATATCAAGTAAACTCGGTTGACAAGATCTACATTTTTCAGTTTTATAATCGCGAATCTAGCGAGTTCAATCGGTAATCACGCAAATGTATGTACCAACAGCAGCATATTTTTAATAGCGTGTGTCTCGCAAGAATATCGATCGAGAGGTTAGGTGCGCTTTGCATGACATCGGATGATAATATTTTACAAATATCGCGGTATCTGCAAATTAATCAGAAAATTCCGCATACCTGATGCAAGAGTCAGATGTCAGGTGCAATATGTGCAGACATGTATAGCGTCGAATTGCTGAACTTCCGTCAAAAATTGCAAGGGATGTAATTGCATTCGTTATACTCCATGTTGCATCATTCTACAAGATATATATATAAAAGAAAACATTTTAGAGAATAGCATCCCAATCATTGACCGAACATTTTAGAATAAATATCCCAATCATTGATCATCAATTATTAATCGATTAACAATTATCGCGATGCAAAGCAAGCTTTCTCTTTAAAAACATATGGAATATTACGTCTTAAAATACCTGTGACGTCTTAAAATAGCTGTGTAAAATACCTGTTAAAATACTCTATCCAATCGTCGTTCGAACGAAAGTCTGACGCCTACGTTGCAACACGACGCGTTACCATATTTGGCAAACACTTTGGAAACATTACAAGCACTTGCGAAATCGGCGATAAAATCGAAGGCAGGATGTGGAAGGCAGGATCGGGAGAATGCGATGTAAATTTTCGATATCTGGAATAGACGCGAGAGCACGAGAGAGCGCGGACGAGAGGGACGTTGCAGCGCGACGCGATCAAGGTTTCACTTCGAATATGGCGGGAATGCGGATGGCGCGTCGAACGATCGAAATTCGCGTCGCTGCGCATGCGCGGGCGAGTGGCGCGCATTCGCGCGGTCGCGACGGCGCGGCGGGCTTGCGAATTGGACTTTAGCTCCGACGTTACAGCGCGGCAAACGAATCCGATTGGACAGCGTGGCCACGAAGGCCACATCCGGCCGCGGCCGCCGCAGTATTGGTCGATCGCGCGCGACGGCATCAGCAACAGCAGCGGTAGTGGCAGCGAAGTTGGCCGAATTTCCTATATATATTATTGATAAATAGCTCGCGTCGTTGCTCGTGTGACTTTCCGAGACGGTTAAGAACAGCCGACTTCGTATCGTGCGTGAATGTGCGTGACCTCGTCGTCGGGAGAGAGGCGTTTTCGCGCAGGAGCGTTCGAGCGTGCTCTCCTCGCGAAGAAGAAAGAAAAGTGTGGTGGTGTTCCATGAACGAGCAACTACACGTACGACGTACCGTGACGACAGTTACGTGAGAAGAGAGAGAAGGAGAAGGAAAGAGATAGAGAGAGAGAGAGAGAGATAGAGGGAGAGAACGCGCGCGCGTCGCTTCGCAAACGGAGATCGGTGGTGGACGAGAGCAGCCGAGCGCGGACGACGGGATTATCGTACGTTTGGGTGTGACGGGACGTGTCGCGATACAGTGTGGACGATTCGGACCGGCAAATTGCACGGATAGTGTTGTGTACGCGGGCCCCCCAAAAGGGCAGGCCCTGGCAGCGTTCCTCGCGAGAGCCTGCGGCGCTATCCCACGAGAGAGCATGCCGAGCCCGGCCACGAAGAGGTGAGAGCGAGCGAGATAGAGATAGGGAGGGAGCATGCGAGCGAGCGAGAGAGCGCGAGCGTGGTAGTGAGAGGAGTGAGAGGGAGAAGAAAGAAAGAAAGAGAGAGACGCACAGAGACGGCGCGCGCGAGCGAGCAAGAAAGGAGAGCGTGCGTTGTAACCCGTGGATCCGAGGGAAGCGACTACCTCTCTTCGAGGCTGTTTTTTGCTCCGCCATTGTACGATCGCGAGAAACGGAACGACCGAACGTCGCGGTGGCGGCATCGCGGAGGAAATCGTTCTCGTTTTCTCTCCAGCATACAGATCGTCGGGCGTGTTTCTGTACGGCGGGCGTCTTCGCGTTGCATCGACATCGAGGAGAACAAGGAGGAGGTGGAGTAGGAGGAGGAGGAGGAGGAGGAGGATATCGTCGTCGCGGCCCTCGTACCGTGTCGTTGCCTGCGTGTCCGCGTTTTTACGTGCGTGTATGCGGCTCCGCCGGGTGTTCCTCGACGCGGCGAGTATCGCGCTCGATACTCGCCGCCGTTGAACGGAGTGCGGGAGTGCGACGACGGGGATTCATTCGGTGCGCGAGAATAGTGGTCGATTCCTGGTAAAGAGCAGCCAAGTGTCCTTTCGTCGAGACACTCGCGTTCGTGTATACACCCTGGCGCGCAGTAGCGAGAAACCCGTCTTGTGCCATCGTGTAGCTGTTAACGAGCTCGTGTTGACGAGGACACGAGGAGTCGCGTGCTTTCGGCGGGCATTTTCGTTCCCGTTTGTTCCTCCTACTTACTAACCGTTAGGTCCTTGATCTTTCTTCTAGCGATAGCTATTATCTCTCATTACAGATAGTATGATAATAGTATTAATAGAGTAGATTAATAAAAGCCGGCTCTGTACATATTGCGATCGCGTGTACGTGGAACTTGGCTCTATATTCGAAATCCGTGCGGCGCGTTATGCAACAGACGCCGCGCGCGCGATCGACGTCGAGGAGGAGGAGGAGAAAGCGCGCGGCTCTCGTTCTCTCGCGGCTTCGTCGCCGTCTGTTTTTATTAATCGTGCTCGTATCCGCCGCCGTCACCGTCGTCATCGCCGCCGCCGCCGCCGCCGCCGCCGCGAGCGTATCACGTGGTGATGCGTCAGACCGTGTGTCGCTGCTTTAATTTACCTTGTGTATTACACACAAGCGTATCCGTATATACATATATTGTTTGTGTGTAATTATACGATACGGTCGCGCCGACCGGAAAGCATGTAGAGCGTATTCCTACGGAGGAGAATTCGCACTCTCGGGAGAGTCCTACTCTCTACGCCCTTTTCTCTCTTTCTCTTTTTCTCCTATATTCGACTGACTCTTCTCAACTCTTCGGCGCCTCATCCCGTCCCATCTCATCCTCCTTTCGTATTCCCTACGCCGGTATTCTCCCGGCGAAATTCCTCTCCCTCCAGACTTTTTATCGGCATACTCGTACCCGGTCCTCGCGCATCCCGTTTGCGGTTTTTTTCCGCTAAAACTGTCATCTCTCTTTGTCTCGCTGTCGCTCTCTGTCTCGGTCAACAATACGCATGATTGGCCCCGCCACGGAGAAATATCGGTCTGTTTCCGGCGCGATTGCATACGCCGCAATTTGTGTTATGATTTTTCTCGCCATTATTTATTATAATAATTATAGAGTATATGATTTGCAGTTTTTTCCTCCCTATAAAGCGAGGGTCTTGGTTCGGGATATCTTAATCTCGTTGGATTTTGAAAGATGATATTGAAACAATATATTTGATTTTTTAACAAAATAATCTTTATTTAACTTTGTAATAATATTTATCTTGCGCGCTATAACATCTCCACGTCGTTGATAACCGGGTGTTTCGATAAGAAGGGCATTTGAAAGGGCAAGAGAAGAAATTTGATACATGATCTTAGATCAGCTGATTTTTGCGCTTCGGAATATATGTTTTTTAATGTAAAAAGATATTTATAAGCGCATCGGATTTTTTCCATCGAATTGATCGAAATTTCGTCGTCGTGTCATCACGAGTAATCATGAGTCATTTGTATATATCGGGTGTATCGAAGAGTGTATCATCTATAATTGTTCTCGACATATCTCTCTGTCGATTTTATTTTATTTTTCAATCAAATCGCGCAAATTTTGTGTATTTGCACGCATTGTCACGATACGATTACGTTTATTGCGCAATATTATTTACGCTGAAATAGCCGTAAACATTGTAACTATAGTAACGTAATATACTGAAATACACTTTGCGAGTTTGAAAAAAAAAAGATCTTATTACATAATACTACAATTAAAATTATTTTTAATGTAAAGCTGTAAGAAACGAAAGGAGTGCACAGTTTTGCAACGTATTAAGAGAAAGATCGATTATTTTAAACAATTTGCTATTTTGAAATTTGTTCTAAATAATACGCAATGTGGATATGAAATCTATCATAAATATAAAAGTATATATGAAGCTTGAGAGTTTCTTGATTAGTGATACATACAAGATTCATAGTGATAAGATAAAATTAAACTGAAAATTAAATTGTAATACTGTAAATATACTCAACGAAAAAAAAGAAACATGATTCATTTATTGCACAGAGACAGAGAGCGCTTGGGGAAATATATTTAAAATTTAATTAGTATTTAATGTATATTCAATTTTTGTGATATATCGCAATATACAGCTTTAGAAAAATGGTAATTATTATAGTTTTCCAAAATATTACGCAAGACAGCATTCGGAAAACAACAAAACTAAATTATTTTAAAGAAAAAAAAATATGAAGAAAGGGAGGGAGAGTAAACAAGCGTAATCGCGTGAAAAACGAAAGTTGCAATACCTTTTGTATTAAGGTACATCGAATCTGCACTGGTTCGATGGTACTCACAGAGAGACGCGAGTACTCGACCGTAAAATACTTTCCTGAAATTAAGCTAATGAATATAATTTACAGCTTTCGCTATAGAAGCGCGCATCTTTTGTGAATCCGAGCACGTTGTAATATTTAGCGTTATTTATTTATTCTTTTCTTTTCCAGGACACACAGGAGAAAAGCGGTGTACGGAACGCGGTGCACCAGATAATTCTGATCTCGACGAAAATATTTTAATAGCATCGCTGTTTACGTCATCTCATTGTAGCGAGCAGTGAGAGATTGCTGTTGCGAATTATTATTGTTATTACAAAGTTTGACTCTGGAAAATAATCATCCTGAAAACTGAACAACGCTATTGCAACGATTACAAACGAATCATCGTCGGTGTGATACCGGAATGTTTTCGCCTATATTGCAAGAGAACACGTTGGAATACATTTAAACGAGACATCAAGTATGCTACGCTTCTTCAAATGTGGAAATGAAGTGAGTTACATTTGTGTTTATGACTACGCAATATTATACTGATTCTTTAGAACGAAGTCGAGCGAGCTTAGCGAGCTTATACTTTCAACATTGCTCCACGGCTGTACTTATCTATGTAGCTTTAAAAATGTTATGTAATTTTGCGTAACGCATAGATAACCCCGTTTTAGCATGCGATGATTAAAGGGCTTGACAACTATTAAGTTTTTTAGAGTTTCCTATTATGAAAAATATATATGGGATTTATTTGTATATCGAGAGTAGTTTTATTTATTTCAATTTAGATAAAAATTTTTCACTTTTCATTTAAAATTTTCTCGATTGTAGTAACTCGATAGTTACAAAAGAGTTAAAAAATGCTTTATTTTTCTATTTCTTGAAATAAATAAATGTAAAGTAATAACAAAACATGATGTAATATTTTGATTTTTTGCAGGAGAGCAATATCGTCTTATGATAAACAATGGGAGTAAATGATCGATAACATGAGAGAAACTGTGGAAACGACGTAATTACCGTGGCCGTAAGGATGGCAGGCCAGTAAATCAGACTGTATATTAAAAATACAAGAGAAACACAGCAGAGGACAAAGAAAGGGACAAGTCGAATAGTCAATCTAGGGTGGTGGACGGTAAGGGAGGCAGGACTGAGCCGTGTAGTAATGGATGAATGGGAGTGAGCGCAGTGCACGGGGAGCGCAGGAGTGGCGGGCGCGCACGTTGTGGCACGTCGTGGGAGCCTCTGGATGTGGAGGCCGCGGCACTGGCAACGTCAGTGGCAGTGATGGCCCCTGCTCTGACGGAAGACGGTCCTCAAAAGCCTGAAAACTTGCTCCCTACCCTACCAGCAGTTGCCAGCGGCTTTCTGTCCGCCGAGCAGGCCACGCAGGTGTGCCAGAACCGTGAGATCTTGACCAAGTTCGTGGTGCCGGCAAACGTGCAACCGTCGAAGATCGACGAACAGTGCTTGCGCGGTATCTCGAAGGACCTCATACGCGATGTCATTAATTCCAAGTACGCTAACGATTTTGACTCGCTATCCGCGTTCGCAAACGCGTCCGACTTGATCGGATCGAGAAACGGTACGGCAGCGTGTCTGCAACAGCAGGCGGAACAGGAGGACTTTGAGCGGCCGGTCACGCTGCCGGACGCTGGTCACGCCGTAGGGAAGGTGATCGACATTATAATGAGCGACCCATCTATGGGTGATCAAACGAACAACATGGGTTTCTTGAAATCGAGCGTGGATTTGCCCTTAGCGGCTACTGAGATTGAAACGGGAGACAATAAGAATCTGGACGTCGATCAGATCATGGCCTTTGGCACCGATATCACCACCGAGCAATGCAACATAGGGAACGTCGCTGATATTGGGCACAACGTGGATGATATCTTGCAGGTCATTAATTCGATAGAAGACGCGGAAAGTGTCGAGAACATTTCCGCCGGTGGCGGCGAGCCGGTGCAAAGCGCTGTCGATGGCGTGGAGATGTTTGCTATGCCCGAGGAGGGATTTGCGTCCTTCGAACGGGATTTACTTAATGGCGTGGATGTAATGAGTCTCTGCAATGAGAATATGAATATATCGGTGGACACGGTGGACCAACAGAAGTCTAACAGTTTGAAGTTACAACAGGACATTGTGGCGCAAAAGCAATTCGAAAGTGAGAGACGATGCGCGTTTTTATTAAGAAGATTGAGAAAACTTCAAGGGAGAATAGTGGGCAGACATGTGGCGGAGGAGAATACCGGTGTTCTCGAGTTGGCCCATCATGGAGTAAAGAAATATTTTCTGCAAGAATTGGTCAATATTGGTTCGAAATCCAATGTGAGAAATTTTCCTGAGATTAGCAGTAGTTTGCATTCGTTCTTACAAAGAATTGAGAAAATGTGCGTTGCCCAGAGTAACAGTGTGAATCGTCAGAGAGTGTGTTGTCGATATTTCGGTGGAGGATCGCGTGATAACGCAAGCGGCGGTACGTCCGGCAATAATGGCAATCGTCAGCCGGTATTCGGTACCCCTCAGGTTAAACTAAACGGTGAAGAAGTGGAAAGTGTGTCCGGAGCTTTGTCCACACAATTACACATTGTGGAATCTAACTTTGATTCGGATTGTACAGCATCCAGTAGTGGTGGAGAAAGTTGTGACGAAATGCAGACATTTAACAATCCTCATCAACAGAATCTACTCATGTAAGTTATCTGTGTATATATATATAAAGAAAAAAATTTAATATTAGTACTAAGCATATAAATGTATTTCACATGTTCTGCCTTTATTAGATTTATGCAATTTATCGATTATTTTCACTTTGTTGAAAAAGTATATTTTGAATGAAATAGAATTGATTTTAAAAGGAAAAAGGATATATATATATATATGTATTAGATGAATTTTTTATTTTAGAACGTGATAAAAGTATTTAAAATATCCCTGAAATAATATTTTGAAAAAGACATACATTCTTTTAAAAATATTTAAGTGTTACAAGTAATTATAACAAGCTCTATACAAATAGCATACACCAACTGGATTTTATTATTGTCAAAATCACATTATTCTTTGTATTATAAATAATTATATCAATAGTTCAAATATTTTTTAAAATTTTACTACATAAATTTGATTTCAATTCTTCCAAAAATTTGGCTTAATGCAATTTGAACAACTTAATTTTTAATGTTAACTATTGCAGCAGAAAAAATTAAAAAAATTTTATTTATATTTTTAGATCCTAATGTATTAAAATTTTTGAATTGTTAATTGTTTATAATTATTTATGCTTCAATAAAAAAGCAAACCGTACAGTTTTTTTTTAATTTGGCCTCTAATGTAAAGTTCGGAAAATCTTTGAGTATTTGTACACAAAATAAGTAGTATATATTATTACAATTGGAGAAAACAGACCGAATATGTTTTATGGCTCGGTTCTAATTTTTTTACTGCTTGTTTATTTACAAAATACTTTATATTGAAAATATGTTCATAATTTGTTTGACGTTTAGTATTCAGATTTGATTTAATGTTGCATCTCGTATTTCTGCATGTGTAATTGCAACGGTACTGTATATTATGTTTAAATTTAATGATTCTATAAGATAAAAGAAAGGAGGCGGACAATAAGGTTGAAATAATTTATTTAATTGGCTGGATTTATGCTTGTTAAGGTTTCCCAATATTCATATAGTTTCTACTTCTACTAATAGATTATATTGAGAGAGAGAGATTTATTACACAATGTATAATCTTTTGTAAATGAGTAGGCCAATCGTATTGTTACATTATTTGCACAGATCCAAAAGAGCAGCATGGAGATATGCACAGGATCGTGCAGGTGTAGCATCACGGTGGACCTGGCTGCAGGCGCAAATATCAGATTTAGAGTACAGAATTAGACAACATAACGATCTGCAACGGCAGATTAGGGCCGCGAAAGGCCTGGTTGTTCTCGAAAACGCGGAAACTGTTAACGGATACAGTGGCGCTTTACCAGGTTCTACTGGACGATACAATTCGCCTGAGGGTGAATTACCAGCTAGTAGAACGCGTCCATTTGTATGGAGTTTTTATAGAAAGCGAAAGCTTTTGCAAGTGGATAGGCTACATGAAGTTTCAAAGCGTGCAGCTAAAGCGTCAACAGTGAGATGCAATTGTGATCATGTGTTGCCTGCGTGTGCTTTATGTACAGGAAGGTTAGATCCAATGCAGCCACAAGAACCAATTGAACAACTTTCTGTACAGGAACGTGTAGCACTTGTTGATCCTAGTTTTCATTCAGTGTTGTCATTCCCCGATGGTACGTTTATATATACATGTACTCATTAATACACAATATAAAAATTTCTCTGGTCAAATTACAATAATCTAGTAAAGCTTATATCTTGTTACATAACTGCTTTGTTTTTCCTATAATCCATTTTTTAAATATCTAAATAAATTTTTAAACATTTTTGTCAAATTAGTGTCGAAAAACTTTGCACCTATAGCACACACATATGTTTATTGTAGAAATTGTACATGGAACCCATTTAGAAGCTATTATGAAATCAGTGGAGTGGCAGCAGAAAATGTTGAGAGGCAATATGCGAGCTACCCGTGTGAAAGATAAAGATAGCAATGAAAGAAGAAATAAAAAACTTCCCAACAGAACAAAATATACCGCGCGGTTAAAGAAATCATCCTCGACTATTCTTACAGCAAGTACATATCACGAAATTTCAGTCATTTTGTACAACTTTTTATTCTTGTCTAGTAAAAGAATGAGTCGCTCTATCAAGCTGTTGTTTCTCCGCGATATAAAATAACATATTTTTTTCTTATCCAGGGATCAAGAGAAAAATGTTGAAAAATGGTAAAAGAAATAGACTTGGCCATTCGGAGAGAAGCGTGCCTGGATTAAACAAGAAAAAAATATCAAAATTGCCAACTGAGGATGATGACGACATTAGCGCGCTTTCAAGTTCCAGCAAACACTCATCCCCAGTGCCTTCTCCATTGCAACATGTTACTGCCTCTTCGGAGAAAAATACTGTTAAAGAAAAAAGTTCCAATCCACATGGGTAAGCGACATATGATATTTTTACATCAATTTATGTTTTTTCTGTTTTTGTTAGCAAAATTTTGCTATATTAATTTCTCATATACTAAAGTTCCTATATTTTGGAAAGCAAACACTTTGAAAATATAAAATGGAGCACCATTAATGGTGCTCTCTATCTATGAAATTATCAATTAGTGATATATATCACTATTATTTCAATAAATGTCAAACATTTTATAATGATTGATATTTCAGGCGTTTGCGACAAAACTCATACGATATTGACAATATAGTCATCCCCTACAGTGTCGCTGCTTCAACGAGGCCTGAAAAATTACAATACAAGGAAATTTTAACACCAAAGTAAGATTTTAATAATTTACCGAGCTGTTGCTCCAATTTTTAAACAAGAGCTTATCTTAATTATCTTGATTATTTATATTATTGTATCATATAATATACATATATGTTTCTCGTACTATTAAAGATGGAGACTGTGCGACGAGCCCTCGAAAATGGATGTGAAGAATGGTGTAATGCACAGGCCTGGTCAGGACAGTGATGTAAGTGAATAAAGAGAGCTAATAAACGATAAAAAAAAGCAATTCAGTAAAATAAGATAACGTGATATTTTCTCTTTCGTAATTGTGTCAATTCAATGATTATATATGATTTTATCAGTTTGAAGACATGTCGGACGAAACAATCGCTTTGAGGCACGAGCGTAGCGAACGCGAGGAATATAAACGTTTCATGACATACCTTAGTATGCCGCATCAAACACGCATTCGTCACAATCGTCGTATCGACAGCAGAGCAGACAGTGGTGCGAACACACCAGGTACGTCGCCTCGCGTTTGATCGTGAATTTCAACTACTAAACGGCAATTATAAACAACAAAGATTTAGCATTATTTTAATATTATTCTGTATTTTTTAATAGTTTTTAATACCGAATCAATAAAATTATATTCTCTCGTAAAGAAAGTAAGTGTTGTTTTAGATCCTATGTCACCGCACGCAAGTAGTGACTTTGGTGGAGACGTGGTATCTCCGTTTACGTCTCCACCTGCCACTCCGTCTCAGGTGCAGGACACAGAACAGCCATCGGGTTTAGATTCGCACCGACCGTCTGCTTTACAAAACTCTTTTCGACGTCGTACCATGCCTGCTTTAAGACTAGGGAAGGACGATGCCGTGGCCGCATTTACCGAAGATGAAAATGAGGTGACACATAATAAACGATATATGTATATTGCGTTTAAATGAAAAAAGCAAACACTTTGAAAATATAAAATGGAGCACCATTAATGGTGCTCTCTATCTATGAAATTATCAATTAGTGATATATATCACTATTATTTCAATAAATGTCAAACATTTTATAATGATTGATATTTCAGGCGTTTGCGACAAAACTCATACGATATTGACAATATAGTCATCCCCTACAGTGTCGCTGCTTCAACGAGGCCTGAAAAATTACAATACAAGGAAATTTTAACACCAAAGTAAGATTTTAATAATTTACCGAGCTGTTGCTCCAATTTTTAAACAAGAGCTTATCTTAATTATCTTGATTATTTATATTATTGTATCATATAATATACATATATGTTTCTCGTACTATTAAAGATGGAGACTGTGCGACGAGCCCTCGAAAATGGATGTGAAGAATGGTGTAATGCACAGGCCTGGTCAGGACAGTGATGTAAGTGAATAAAGAGAGCTAATAAACGATAAAAAAAAGCAATTCAGTAAAATAAGATAACGTGATATTTTCTCTTTCGTAATTGTGTCAATTCAATGATTATATATGATTTTATCAGTTTGAAGACATGTCGGACGAAACAATCGCTTTGAGGCACGAGCGTAGCGAACGCGAGGAATATAAACGTTTCATGACATACCTTAGTATGCCGCATCAAACACGCATTCGTCACAATCGTCGTATCGACAGCAGAGCAGACAGTGGTGCGAACACACCAGGTACGTCGCCTCGCGTTTGATCGTGAATTTCAACTACTAAACGGCAATTATAAACAACAAAGATTTAGCATTATTTTAATATTATTCTGTATTTTTTAATAGTTTTTAATACCGAATCAATAAAATTATATTCTCTCGTAAAGAAAGTAAGTGTTGTTTTAGATCCTATGTCACCGCACGCAAGTAGTGACTTTGGTGGAGACGTGGTATCTCCGTTTACGTCTCCACCTGCCACTCCGTCTCAGGTGCAGGACACAGAACAGCCATCGGGTTTAGATTCGCACCGACCGTCTGCTTTACAAAACTCTTTTCGACGTCGTACCATGCCTGCTTTAAGACTAGGGAAGGACGATGCCGTGGCCGCATTTACCGAAGATGAAAATGAGGTGACACATAATAAACGATATATGTATATTGCGTTTAAATGAAAATATTAATACAAACATATTTTATAGCTCAAAATTTTTTTTGTACAGATTTTACCTTACGAGCCAAGAGTATTCCCGTTATCTGAAGAAGTTTATGACAAAATGTTGGAAGTGATGCCGGACGGACACTGGCAAGCTTCGTCGACGTCTCTATGTTCCCGCGACGAAGACAAGGGTGATGATGTACGTACATTGTACTTGTACTGATATATACCTTCGCATTAAATATCTAAGTCTGAGAAATTTGAATTATATAAAATATATATGGGTGCTATAGTATTGACTATTAATATACACTTTGAGCCAACTTTCATGGCTCCTCTCGAGGCTATTTCCGGTAAGCAGTGCCACTTGACGCTTCCTATACTTTTGTAACGTAATTCTCTAATTTTATTTTTCACATATTTCTTACACACAGACACACATACACACAGAATTAGAAAATTTTTACACGACAAAAATATCGCGTTAAATCAACGCAATCGTTATATATTTTCTATATACTTATAGAATCTTTTATACGATTCTCTAGTTTGCTCCTTGTTTCGCGCAGCTGCCGTATGAGAGCTTGCAACTTTAAATAGAATTTTTTGCAAAGCGATCACAATTGTGGATGTAGATGATTCCAGTGACCGTCGCTTGTATAACCATTCATATTTCTACGTTTCTAGGACGGGGAAATGGATTCTCCCGAATCGGATTCGACCGAATCTGCTTGTTGTGACATAGACGGTGAGGATCCCAATGATCCCGAATGGACAGTAGGTGACGATAGGGACACTGAAAAGGAGAGAATACGTCCGACGGCTAAGAGATAGGATATAAAACTCTTAATAAGTACAGTATGTCTACGTCGTCGTTACTATATGCAGAAGCTACCTGTCAATTGTTATATATACCTGTCGGTCATGTAACATTGCACCTTAAGTTAATGGTATTACGAATCTGTAAAGTGTATTATAAATATAAATTTTATAACTTCATTCTCTGCTTAAATTAATGGAAAGAACCTTAATTAATTATATTGCTCTTTTTTTAAGTATTGCTATTTTGGCCAAAGCATTAGAACTGTACGAGCGTCATAGTACATTTAGGATTATACTTGCATTACTGATCTTTTTCCCTTCTCTGTTATATAAATACACATAGTAGGTAGTATTAATTCTCTGAAAAAAGTGGAATCTCATGACAGTGGTTGAGCCGTTTTGTACAAAACTATATTTGTTACAATCACAGCTCTTCACTTAAAATAAAAGTGCCAATCGAAATGTTTTGTAGCACTGTGTACCTTCCAATATTGCGTGCTTTTTCTATTTTGTAAGAAAGAATACACTAATTTGTGTGACATTCTATGAAAAATGTTAATATACTACAGATGCTCTTGAATGTATATAAATTATAATTTTATCGTTATGTGAAAACTTGTATTTAAATCCTTGTATATTTTGCCCATCATTATGACTCTTGCACCTAATTTCGCAAATGTCGTAATTTATGTAACAGTCAAAATCAGTTAAGGAGTATGAATTTTCTTTTTTTTTTTTAGTATTAAGAATTCAGTTTTATTTCTCATATATGACCAAGTTGTGTCTTAAGATATTACTGGTAACATCGTATAGGTACAGGTAAGAGAGGACAATGCTATAAAAAAATTAAAATTATAAAAAAGGAGTTGTATAAATTTATGTATTATACAAGATATTCTTGACATAGTGTGTGAGAATTTAAAGTATATAAAACAAGTATGCGCTAATATTAAAAATGTATTATCAGTTAATTACTGATGCTCTGTATTTTGACTGTTATGTTCTTATCATTGGTATAATTTATGAAATATAAATTCATTTGTTAATTTAAGTTCATACTGAAAGTCTTGTGTCACTGTGATTTCGCGATTTTCTAATAGTCTGTGATACTACATGTATTTTCTTTCGTATTAAAAGTTTTATAACCAGGCAAATGTCTATGAATTCTTAAAAATCGCATGTGTTTGAATTTTGTATATCACTTTTACGAGATGCAAATAAAAATAGGTGACAACAAAATTGTTCTGTATTCATTTAGCAAATTGTACAATTACATTCATTTATTATACTATATGTATTTATATGCACATATACTCTTGTGAGAGATTATAATTTTTTCATCATTATAATAAAATAAACGGATCAATCAAAATATTGGATAATCTATTGTGTACATTATACAACGTGACTATGTGTGTGTGTTAAAATGTATTTACCATTATTCAAATATAAAATTATTTTTATTTTGTTTAAAAGATTTTGAAAATGAAAGTACAAAAACATGGTTTGATAGTGATCTGGCAAAAAATGTCACATATTATATTAATTATTTTTATCTAATCATATTCAAACCAATAATAAGTTTATTCAGGTATTCGTACCAAAATTAATGGTTGTGGTATCCAAAGTTTCTATATCCACTATAACCGCAAGATTTGTAGAGGAATACTTTGGAATACAAATTAGTCTGACCGTCTGATTTTCTTCACCTACAAATGTTGAATATACTTTCTTTAGTGTTTTAGCAAAATATATATAAAGGAATATTAGCAGAGTATCAAAATATGCACAAGTGGTCATACTGTAGTGTGAAAAGTGAGGAAATAAATTTATTATTTTACACAAATGCACTTAATAAAGCTAATGTCCTTTAATATAACTAAAACATAAGTAACTTTATCAAATTTTACTTTATGATATAATATTTACCTGTCCACAGTTTTGTTTCAAATTCATCTGTGTTACCCACAAAGTATATATCTGGACAGTAATTTATGATAAATGGGTCTTTTACTGAGTAAGGATGTACTGGTAATGTGTCTGGAGCAGTTGGACACATATGTCTCCAAACCAACGTTCTTTCCAGCCAATCTAAAGGAGAAATATCTGTCACACCAGTTGCTTTCACAATATCCTCAATCGGTTGACCACTGCTACCCATTATTATACGTTCAGCGACTTTGCCAATCCATGGATTAGTCACACCTTTGAAACTTTCAAATCTAGAAAACACATAACACTAGTTCAGAGCTATATTTGCACACAGATTAAATTTCGATTATGGCTCAGAATAAAAGCCTTTTCATAAGTCAGTAAAAAATGAGATATAGAAAATTAAATCTATTTTTATATATCATATTCTCTTTCTTTTTTAGCACACTCTATATTATTATTAAACACTACTTAAATTTGATTTAATTGTTAAATATAAGTGAATAAAAGTAGTTTTTTAAATCATATTTTTTTTCTACACAATAATAGAAAAGAAATCCATTTTTAACTAGTTTTAAATATATAGTCTTATCTTTTGTTCATTGAAGTCAAATGTAATTTACATCACAATCGGTATGTATATTTGCACAATACCTAGATGTTAGAGGCAGTATACATGGATGCAATGGTCTCTGAGGTAGCATTGTATTGACAGGATCATGTTGACCTGGCATTAAGGTGACGCAACAACATGTTGCTATTTTGGTGAGAAATGCATCTAGGAGTGTTGTTGCTACAGCGACTTCTTTTGCTATCGCGGCATCTTGTGCCTTCCCTTCAGCGTGCCCCATTAAAGTATTTGTCTTGGTAACAGTTTTCACGGAATTACCTGATATGTAATAGTAAAATGTACAAATAAAATCGTTTTATAATTAGAGACATAAGAATAGGTATATACCAGCAATAATAATTTGAACGACACAAGCGGCATTTTCTTGCACTATTTCATTTCCCGCCATGCCGCATATCCAGTCGGTTAAAAGACTTAATGATAAATCCTCCGAGTTATTTGCCAAGTCGAGCCCAGATAGAAACAACAGTTTTCCTTTGGACTTTGGTTGTGCCAGTGAACTTTTAGGCACGCAACCAGGAAAGCACCATTCCTTGATCTAAATAAGACATAAAAGCTTTGCATGATTTACATATACGAGAAATTGTAAGAATTCACACTTACCGCAAAATTATCATCTTTATCTTTATCTTTATGTCCTAATATGGCACATATGACACCTGTAACATAGTTCTTCAGCTCTATGTCTTCAACTAGTAATTTGATGCGTAACATTTCATCTTCCAAGAAAAGTTGATCCTTTTCTGAGCAATAATTTGATTTTGGCTCAGATAATGTGAGTTGATGATCTTCGCTTAACTCATGTAATATTGATGGCTTCCACTTTTGATGTTTATAGAGCGTACCAATTATTACACATTCTTCTCCTTCAAAATCTTCTAATTCTGCCAACTTTAGTATCTGAACTTTTCCTGAAAACAAGATAAATTGTTTTTTATTTATTTGAGTCTATAGTAATTGTGGCAACATACTTGTGTACATAAAGATTTTATATATTATTCTTAGAATATTTTTGTGCAAAGCAGCATTATACCAAGCTTACCCCATTTTGCAATAACTCGTGATATTAATACTGCTCTCAATTCTGCCAATCTTATTGAATATATGTGACAAAATTGCTTAGAAAAATCAATTAATTTATCATTAAAATCAATAGTCAAGTCTTCATATTGTACTTGCTGTCTTTCAAATTTTGGGGGGTTTTTGTTTCCCAGACTTGAAAGTAGGTTTCGATCAGATCCATTAGAAATTGGTGCCATTATTAATAATATTCTATAAAATTAATAAGGATAAACAAAATTATTATTATTTTAATAAGGATAGTTACACTGAAAGATAAAATTGATCAATATATATCTATTACTGTTTTTACACTACAGTATATTAATATAGATACACAAATAATATTCAGAAACTGCACTTTTTACTGGATTCTATATATCGATTACATTGAACTATCATTCAATCATTTTATATTTTTACAATTTTTATTTTGCAATATTAATTATTCGATTATGAATATATATCATATTTTGATTCTAACCTTCTGTTCTTATTCTATTCCCTTTGTTTTTTGTTATGTTAGAGAGATATTAAAAACTTTTACTTCCTTTTAATACTGAAATTTGTATTTTTTATTTTGTTTTTTCTTATCCGTGATACTTATATAATATTTATCACACACCATTGCATGCCATATCAGCGTTCTTTCCGTTCTCTCTTTTCGCGCCTTTTTTACTTTTATAAATTGGTAACTCGCTATCCACGGCTCGCAGGCCGTGTTCCGAAATTCACTGTTAGTTACTAGAAATCTATAGTTCACGTTAAGCTGTGTTCCGATTCCCCACCCGGGTGCACCCGATATTATAGTATACGTGACATATACTATAATATCGGGTGCACCCGAGTGGGGAATCGGAACACAGCACACAGCATTACGTATATTATAGATTTCCAGTACTCTAGAATGAATTTCGGAACATACAATGCGTTCCTCTTGATACTGCAAAAGTTTCGAAGCGTTTAATTAATCAACAAATTTAATCAAAGAGCAAAGAAATCTACAGCCTCTTTCATCCTGAATAATCGAACAATCGATGAAATTATTTGTAGTGTCAAACAGAGTATGTCTACAATCTTTATGTCGCTTTGACGTCGGAATCGGTCCGAGCATTTAAGTTATCAAGAATGCCACGCAGGCGCATGACGAAGGAATTCGCGTAGTCGTGCAGTTGGCAGCCATATGTTTACAGCTCACATCTCGCTAATCTCGCATCGCGTAAAATAGTAATAATTTGTTTGCGACGCGTTTCTCTGCAAGAGACAAGAGGGATCGCGGGAAAAGTGATAGCAGTGATAGCAGTAAATGGGCGTGTGAGCGGAGAAGTTAAAAGCGTAGCTCTTCCCAATTCATTTCGCGTAATCCATCGTCGCACGAATGGACGCGAGTAGCGAACAGCCGGCCGCGATCGCGGCCGAGCCCGTCGTCTCTAGCAACGAACAAGAGCACAATGACGAGGCCATGGAGGAGACGGAGGAGTACAGTTACGAGGGGGACGATTACAGGCATTTTATGCCGCGTGGCCGTGGCGGCTTTCGGTGCGTATGACAGGCTCGTACCATTGCACGGTTACCGGTTGATTCGTAATCACCAGCTTGTGGCATCGCAGAGATTTATGTGTTCTCTCTACCACCCCCTCCCCCTTCCATCCGCCCTGCCGCCATCACTCCACCCCTCTAGTCACATCATACGCTCCCTTCACACTTCTCTCCTAATGTCCTCCCTTCGTAATGTTTCTGCTCGATTTAGAATTGATCGCAATATCTGTATTAAAATCATTTTCTTTCACGAGATCCCGATAAACGGAATGTCGGATTTTACATTTAGTCCAATTTGCGTGCAACGCAAGTTTTTACATGAAATTTATGTCACGATTTACTTACAAGAGATAATATTACAGTATCTTGTAGAAACATTATGGGGAACGTAATAGTACTCGAAGCGAGCAGATCAGATTCGTATATTGTTGAATGGAGCTTTTTCAAGAAAGATTCGGAATATACGAGATATGTGATATCTGATCTCCCTTCCTCTCTGTGGCATGATATAATGATAAGATATCCTAGTCACAACATATAAAAATAATTTAAGGGGTCGTGGCAGAGGTGGGTTTGATTTCCCTATGAGGGGTGCTGGACCTCCAAGGTTTCGAGGAAGAGGGTTTGGACCACGTGGACCAATGTTTCGTGGAGCAAATAATGGATTTCCCTTTGAGGGCCCACCTAGGCCAAATTGCCCTCCTGGTCCAGCAGGACCAAGGTTTCGAGGACCGCCGCCATTTGATCCTAGTTGGGGACCTATGGGGCCGCCAAATCTCATGGGACCTCCTAACTTGATGGGACCTCCAGGAATGGTATGTGCCGCTTAATTTCTCAATAATTGTGAATTGAATTTTTATTTAGATCAAACTTAGTTATATAGATATAATGACGATTTTTTTAAAAGTAATTATTTTGATTTAGCCTCCACCACACATGATGAATGGGCCTATTGGTACAGGACCAGGTCCATATGGGCCACCTCCT